AAAAAGAAGGACATGCTCTTCCAGGGGGTGCCATATTCCTTGCAACAGGCTTTATAGACTTTAAGCCGTGTGCAGACTTCATGGGAAAAGCAGTAATCCGTTATAGGAGGGGGGCAATTGTTGATGGGAAGGGGGCAGTAAGACCTTTTTATATGTCAGGGCAGTGAGCTATTTGCAGGGGGACTTCTGGATTATTGTTTTTTTGGCATCGTTATTAACACTGAGCGTGCAATTCTTATTTCAGGGTGGAGGAGAAGCAAACTTGTCTGGAATGCAACTTCGAGATCCCCGACTTCCATAACCATTTCCCCACATACGTACACTGTTCTCTCTGCCGATATGGCACCTGCTGCTCCCGCGCCTACGCCAATCACATGATCAAGTAAGTGCCCCGTGCTGAGCTTTGCTTGTCTCTTGTATGATTAGGGCGTTCTGTTTTATTATAGAGTTGGTCCACCCAAAAGTGATAGTCTTAAGTCGCCCACTGTCATCTTTTAGTTTATTAGGGCTCCATTGCTGGCTCAGTTTCTGGCCACTTTGTGGTGTTCCCATTCTTCCAAATGCATAAAATGTCCAGCAGGGATGGTGGGAGCCCCTCACAATGGGCACAGCAGGCGTACAGACCCGGGAACTCAGCACAGGGATGGTGGGAGCCCCTCATAATGGGCACAGCGGGTGTACAGACCCAGGAACTCAGCACAGGGATGGTGGGAGCCCCTCATAATGGGCACAGCGGGTGTACAGACCCAGGAACTCAGCACAGGGATGGTGGGAGCCCCTCATAATGGGCACAGCGGGTGTACAGACCCAGGAACTCAGCACAGGGATGGTGGGAGCCCCTCATAATGGGCACAGCGGGTGTACAGACCCAGGAACTCAGCACAGGGATGGTGGGAGCCCCTCATAATGGGCACAGCGGGTGTACAGACCCAGGAACTCAGCACAGGGATGGTGGGAGCCCCTCATAATGGGCACAGCGGGTGTACAGACCCAGGAACTCAGCACAGGGATGGTGGGAGCCCCTCATAATGGGCACAGCGGGTGTACAGACCCAGGAACTCAGCACAGGGATGGTGGGAGCCCCTCATAATGGGCACAGCGGGTGTACAGACCCAGGAACTCAGCACAGGGATGGTGGGAGCCCCTCATAATGGGCACAGCGGGTGTACAGACCCAGGAACTCAGCACAGGGATGGTGGGAGCCCCTCATAATGGGCACAGCGGGTGTACAGACCCAGGAACTCAGCACAGGGATGGTGGGAGCCCCTCATAATGGGCACAGCGGGTGTACAGACCCAGGAACTCAGCACAGGGATGGTGGGAGCCCCTCATAATGGGCACAGCGGGTGTACAGACCCAGGAACTCAGCACAGGGATGGTGGGAGCCCCTCATAATGGGCACAGCGGGTGTACAGACCCAGGAACTCAGCACAGGGATGGTGGGAGCCCCTCATAATGGGCACAGCGGGTGTACAGACCCAGGAACTCAGCACAGGGATGGTGGGAGCCCCTCATAATGGGCACAGCGGGTGTACAGACCCAGGAACTCAGCACAGGGATGGTGGGAGCCCCTCATAATGGGCACAGCGGGTGTACAGACCCAGGAACTCAGCACAGGGATGGTGGGAGCCCCTCATAATGGGCACAGCGGGTGTACAGACCCAGGAACTCAGCACAGGGATGGTGGGAGCCCCTCATAATGGGCACAGCGGGTGTACAGACCCAGGAACTCAGCACAGGGATGGTGGGAGCCCCTCATAATGGGCACAGCGGGTGTACAGACCCAGGAACTCAGCACAGGGATGGTGGGAGCCCCTCATAATGGGCACAGCGGGTGTACAGACCCAGGAACTCAGCACAGGGATGGTGGGAGCCCCTCATAATGGGCACAGCGGGTGTACAGACCCAGGAACTCAGCACAGGGATGGTGGGAGCCCCTCATAATGGGCACAGCGGGTGTACAGACCCAGGAACTCAGCACAGGGATGGTGGGAGCCCCTCATAATGGGCACAGCGGGTGTACAGACCCAGGAACTCAGCACAGGGATGGTGGGAGCCCCTCATAATGGGCACAGCGGGTGTACAGACCCAGGAACTCAGCACAGGGATGGTGGGAGCCCCTCATAATGGGCACAGCGGGTGTACAGACCCAGGAACTCAGCACAGGGATGGTGGGAGCCCCTCATAATGGGCACAGCGGGTGTACAGACCCAGGAACTCAGCACAGGGATGGTGGGAGCCCCTCATAATGGGCACAGCGGGTGTACAGACCCAGGAACTCAGCACAGGGATGGTGGGAGCCCCTCATAATGGGCACAGCGGGTGTACAGACCCAGGAACTCAGCACAGGGATGGTGGGAGCCCCTCATAATGGGCACAGCGGGTGTACAGACCCAGGAACTCAGCACAGGGATGGTGGGAGCCCCTCATAATGGGCACAGCGGGTGTACAGACCCAGGAACTCAGCACAGGGATGGTGGGAGCCCCTCATAATGGGCACAGCGGGTGTACAGACCCAGGAACTCAGCACAGGGATGGTGGGAGCCCCTCATAATGGGCACAGCGGGTGTACAGACCCAGGAACTCAGCACAGGGATGGTGGGAGCCCCTCATAATGGGCACAGCGGGTGTACAGACCCAGGAACTCAGCACAGGGATGGTGGGAGCCCCTCATAATGGGCACAGCGGGTGTACAGACCCAGGAACTCAGCACAGGGATGGTGGGAGCCCCTCATAATGGGCACAGCGGGTGTACAGACCCAGGAACTCAGCACAGGGATGGTGGGAGCTCCTCATAATGGGCACAGCAGGTGTACAGACCCGGGAACTTGCATACAGACTCTTGGTGGATGACGGGGACAATCAAAATATAACTTTTTCTGGTTTAGATACTTACGCGTCCCTTACTCTTTTCTAGCAACCACGTTCCCCGGAAAAGTCCGAGATACGGTTCGTTGTTTAAAAGCTGCAAACCCAGGTACGTAATCCTGACAGCCAACCAACCACTCCAAGATGGCGCTATACAGTCACTAATTGTATACATCTTCCCTTCCCAGTCATGATCTGGTGATGACATGCTCATCCTGCCCCTTCGTAACACGAATTGGCGACGCCATGGCCAAGCATCTGGTTTTCAACCCCTCACATGGTTACATCACTGTCATGTGTACAAGTGAGTACTTGTCTGTAATACCGCTGGGCAATTGTGTGCCGCCTCACTGAATGACTGCTGATGGAAATTATTAGAGTGTAAGCTCCTCTGTACAGAGACTGATGTGACTGTGGGGGGATATTAGAGTGTAAGCTCCTCTGTACAGAGTCTGATGTGTCTTGTACTCTTGTAAAGCACTATAGAAAATGAGGACATAATACCAGTTAAATAACTTGATTTTTCTGTTTTCTCTGCAGATTCTACCTCACCAGACTTGTCATGGTAATAATTTTCTCTCTCTCCCTCTCTCATACCCCCCCTCCCCCAGTCTCTCTCCCCCCCCTTTATCTCAGTCTCGCTCGCTCGTCCCTCCACCCCTTGTGTCGGGGTGCCGAAATGTGTATATAGCTGTAGGCAATTGTCCTGTTTGCTGCGCACACCCTTCTTTGTCTGAAACCTTACCTTCATTTTTTATTCATGATTTCGGAGCCCTGACCATGTACTTTCTTTTAACATTAATTGAAGGTTTTAATAATCTGCAGCAAGGCCGGACTGAGGGGTACGCCGAAGAGGCAGCTGCCTGATATTATTCAACAGGACGGGTCCACAAAAAGTACAGGAGCTGCGACCTATGCTGCTGAAGTTGTTCACAGCTCATGGGGGGCGGGGGGG